GTGCTGTGCCCGAGGGGCTAACTTATGTGCGGACTTGCACTATTTGATAACGCATTCATATGCTTGACTGTTGGAAAAGGATATTTTCAAAAGAGGTTTTTAAACTGAGCCAGATATTTTCTAAAGGATTTTTCACGGTCTTACTGTTTTCTAAAAAGGGTTGTACTGTCTTATATAGCACGATGGAGTGCTCTTACGTGATTTCTTGCCTCTCAGTTATTATTTACTCTTATTACCACTGAGTTGGAAGTACTCACTTTACTCCCTGCACCTCGCGTGCAGTTGCAGGTATTATTCACACGGTAGCGGGTGATTAGCGGACTGAAGGTAATACTAATGTAGCTGAGCAAGGTGACCGCCAGCGTTCGCGGCATCGGACTTCATCTTTTGGATTCCAGATTTTATTTTATATATATATGACCCTGTAGTTGTGTTCCTACTTCTTAGATGCTCGTGACTTGTGACACCCCGGTCGGGTTATGTGGGGTTGAAGATACTGATTATTATGGCCGTTAAGTTGTATTATTCTATTCACTTATGTTTAGTAATTGTTAAAGAAATGATTTGGGTAAGTTGGCTGGCCTTGTCTTCACGAGAGGTGCCATCACGACCGGGTATGGGAATTGGGTCGTGACAGATTCATAAGTCAGTAAATCACATAATCAAGTGACTGAAAGAGTACATACATAAAGGAACACATTAATCTAAAAGGGAAGGGAGCAGTTTACAGCATGCTTAGTAATGAAGCTTGATTGCATAAACATAAGTAGAAACTAGCAAGAGTGAAGGAGACAGCTAAAGAAACATGTTGTTTTTTATGCTTGAAGATTAACTAGGACATACCAGTAAGAAGCAAATGCAGAAAGGAAAAGTAAGCAAATTTCCACAGCCTAGCCTTGGCTTTCAGCCGGCTAGACAAAGCAATAAGCACAACTAGTACCGGAGAAAATAGTGTTTTGAGTGAAGTGTGTGTTCTGAACTCAGATGGTTCGTGTGTTTGAAAGAAAAAGGATGCAGGGTATTTATAGCTTCTGAAAATGAGTGAAAAGTAAGATAATAAGTAAAGTTTTAATATAAATATGGAAACAATCAACAGTCTAAATCAATTATACAAGTGATTTCCTTTAATTAAGGAATCACTGTTTAACGGGTAGTAACAGGTTCAAATAAGGAAAGAAATCAGTTTGGGAGTAGATTGATTATTGCCATATAAGGGGTAGTAAAAGCATGCAGTGAACAATCAAGTCTGAGTGCGAAAATATGCTTATTTTTGGAAAGGATTCAGCAAGGTAAATATTACAGTAAAGGGAAAATAATCAATCAATTTTAAACAGGCGAGTGAAATTAGGGTTCATAAAAGAAAAGCTTTGAAATCAATCACAAGATCAGGATCAATCAAGGAATGATCATCCTTCTGCACTTCAGTATATAAACAGAGTGAACAGATACATCAGACATGCGAGGCCAAGCCCATTGACAAAAGAAACAGCATACAATAGTAGCAGAAATAAGCATAGGATTCAGTAGATAGTCAGGGCTCAAATCTATAGCCAAAGTGAAGAAAAGAGTCAAACCAGTAAAGGTCTCACAGTAACATGTGAGGAAACCTTTTGAAACCAAAGTCGAGTTTAAAAGATAGTAAAACTCAGAATCAGATAAGTTACATAAAGAAGAGGGAGTCAGAAACAAAGAACTTTAATCGAATCAAGTGCATGCTCAAACAAACAGTTTCAGACCAAGAAGACCTAGGGTTTTCAGCAATAATCGTGTTTAAAAGATGATAAACAAATAAATCAAGCAAGAACTTAACCAAACAAGACTCATCTAACAAACAGCTTCAGAACTCGGATGAAACCCAAAAGAAATTAGGGTTTTCAACATGCTAACTCAGATAGAAGAAGAACATGAGCAAAACATAGCAAATCACAAACACGTTAAAATCAGAGAAGGGATTTTTGAAATAACTTAAAGAAAAACCCTAATCGAAAAAATGAAGAGTCGTTTTTTAAAGCAAAGTTAAAGAACCTTCGAGAAACACTTAAGAAAGTCATAACAAGTACAAATCTAAAGCAGATCTGAAAAAAAGTTGAAAGATCTTAAAGATTAGGGTTTCGAGAAACCCTAGAAAAGGTGAGAAAGGCCCTGAAAGTTACCGATCTAACCAGGAGAGTCAAGGATCTGGCTCGAGCGGCCATGGCTGGCCGGAGAAAGGTCAAGGATGACCGGAGAAAAGCCACGAACTGAAATCGAATAAGGACTGGACCAGAATCCCTCAAGGTCTGGACATGAAACCACAGGAACAAACATCCAGGAGCCATAGGAGGCCACTACACGTCTCCAATGGCCATGGGAGGCCATGGATTAGGCAAGGTTTAGGGTGGATTAGGGTGTAGTTTGATGGCGGCGGCTACGGTTCATAAGGGTTTCAGAGAGAGTTGAGAGAGAAGATGGATACAAAGGCGGTGGTAGGTGAATAATGAAGTAGGGTAAAGGGTCATTTGGAATTAAAAAAGGAAAGGGCAGCCGGTGGCCGTTGATCTAAATGATCAACGGCTGGGATTAAAGGGGTTAGGTGGGGATCCAGGTTGGGTCGTGTAAATTGGGTTAGGGGGTCGGGTTTGAGTGGAAATTGGGCCGAAAAATTGGGTTCAGATTGGGGCGAAATTAGGCTATAATTGAAATAAAATTGGGTTATCATTTAAATAGCCATTTTTCTCCTTTTAAAATTATAAAAATAGTAAATTAATTTCTGGAAATAAATTAAAAGTACTAAAATGATTTGTGACATATAATTATAAATATAAAAATACTGGACATAATTTTATGAATATAAACGCAATTAAATCCTAAAAGAGGCTAATATTACAATTATATGCAATTTAGTTTTTAAAATACTAAATAAATTTGTAAAAAAATATGCAAAAATCATCTTGGCTATATTTTGGCATAAATATAAAAGTCCAACAAGTGAATCACCAAAATGATAATTTTTGAAAATAATTATTGAGTTTTTATGGATAAAATAGAGAAATAAATTGGTTTAAAAACCTTTAAAGATTAAGGAAAAATAACAAAATACTTGAACATACTTATATATGTATACATATGCTATTTTGAAGGTATTTTTGATATTGAAAAATATATAGGAAAAATTGGGTATCAACAACACATCTTCATAAAAGACTACATCCCTGCTAATGAAGAACACTCTGTGTTCCAAATCCAATAGCATGTAACCCTTTTGATGTGCTGCATTTCCCAACAGAACAGATCTCACTGTCCTTGGCTCAAACTTGTCATGCTTGATCAAGTTTGTTGCAAAGCACAAGCATCCTAGCACTCTTAAATGGGAAATAGAAGGTTGTTTCCCATGTAGCATTTCATAAGGAGATTTACCTGCAAGAATTGAGGAGGGTATCCTGTTGATAATGTAGACTGCTGTGTCAATACAATGGCCCCAGTATCGAACAGGTAAATGACCCTGAAATCTAATAGCTCTGGCTGTCTCAAGTATGTGCCTATGTTTTCGTTCAACTACCCCATTTTGCTGAGGAGTGTATGGGCAAGAACTCTGGTGTACAATGCCATGCAATTGAAATAATTTCTTGCAAGAATGATTAAAAACTCTCCTCCATTATCCGGCCTAAACATCTTAATAGGCTTACCATACTGTGTCTTGACCAAAGCAATAAAGTTTTTGAGTAAAAACACTACATCAGATTTAAGTCGCATAAGAAACACCCAAGTCCATCTAGTGCAATCATCCACCAAAGTAAGGAAAAATCTCATGCCATTATGAGTAGGAACTTTATATGGACCCCAAACATCCATGTGTATCAAGTCAAAACTAGATAAGCTTCTACTCTGACTAAGTGAAAATGGTACTCTAGTCTGTCTTGCTAGTGGACATATCTCACATTTACTCAATTGATTGATATAAGAGAAATTGGTATTATTCAGTAGGCTAGGAATTTTCCTAAGAACTTGCATTGGAACATGTCATGTTCTCTTATGCCATAAGTCTGCACCACTTGCTCCACTAGTTGCTGCAAAGGCTCGATTCACTTTTCCTCCAACTGATGTAGAAAGAACATATAGTCCTTCCTCCTCCTTACCAATCCCCTTCACCTTCCCAGACAAGAGGTCCTGAAATACAAAACATTGTGGAAAGAATGTGACACAACATTTCAAGTCCTTTGTCATCTTAGATATTGACAAACGATTGAACTTGAACGCTGGAACACAAAGAACATCCTTAAGAGTATCACCTCCTGTGAGTTGGCATTCTCCCATGTGTGAAATTGTGGGTGAATCTCCAATAGGCAACTGAACTTGTCATGTGCTTCCTACTGATTGTTTATTATGTAATAATTCTTTAGAACCAGTCATATGATTCGTAGCACCAGTATTTACAATCCATTTGCAAAGTATCATATTTTCACATAATTCTACATTGCCACAAAAGCATTTACCTGCCATGTGAGCACTGGCATCTCCAACAGAACTCTTGTTCAATAGTTGTAATAGTTGATTGTACTAGTCTTGTGTGAAGAACTGGGCTGGTACTGTTGCATTGCTTATTTGTTGACTAGGCATTTGTGTGGTTTGAGACTGTTCACTCAATAGGGCACCATTTGCCTTTCCCTTTGGCTTGAAATCTGGAGGATAGCCCACGATTTTGTAGCATTTGTCCTCAAAATGTCCCATTTTATTACAAAATCACATTTCATTAGTTTATAGCAATCTTTTCGAGTATGTCCTTTTAGGTGGCAAAAGTCACATTCCAAACTATAATTTCTTCTTTGCTTGTTTCCTGATTGTGCAGTAAATAGGGCAGTAGGCTCAATGTTCCCTGCATTTCCATAATTGGCACTAGTAATCATCCGCCTGCTTTCATCTTGAACTACCATGGCATATGCTTTGTTGATAGACGACAAGGTAGGCATTAAGAGGATCTGACTTCTAGCTTGTTCAAAGCTATCACTTAATCCCATGAGAAATTATAACAGACGTTGATATTCCAACTGCTCAACATACTCAGCTGCTGGAGGTGGTGGTAAAATAGAGTCATACTCTGCCCACAGATCTCTGAGCTTTGTAAAATAGGTAGAAACAAAACAAATTCCCTGAGTCATAGTGAAGATTTCCTTGTGCAGATAGTATAATCTCGATCCATTTACTTTATCAAAATGTTCCTTGAATGCAGCCCACACTGTACAAGCATTAGATGAAAAAAGTACTCCAGTTATTAAATCCTCTACTAACATTGCTCATCAACCACGAGGTCACAATCGCGTTGCATCGATCCCACTGGTGTGCTAGACCAGATCCAAAATCCTCTTTTGAAGTCGATCCATCGACTAGGCATAGTTTATTTTTTCCTAACAAGGCTACCTTTATAGCCCGACTCCAGAGAGTATAATTCTCCATTCCAGTTAGTATAAGCCCTACCGACATGGATCCAGGTCCATCGGAAGGATGTAGATATAGCGGGTGGTTATGATCAAGAGTCGTAGATCCTCCGGCTCGTTCGTAGTAGTGTTCGATTCTTTAGAGATCTCCATGAATTAGGTCAAATCAAAGTGCTGAAAAACTGTAATTGCAGAAAAGTAGGGTTCTAACGAAAGCAGAAATGAGTGAATTCCTTCGAATTTTCCTTAATTGCTCGAAAATTCCTTAGAATTACCCGATCAACTGCTCTGATACCATGTTAAATTCTTATGATTAAACTGAAAAGATGATTCAATTCAGAGAAAAAGAAGAAGCAACTTGAGAGAAGAAGAGCAGAGAATGAAATTTCCTTCTTCGATTCTTCTGAGTGAACAATGTACAGTGTATATGACTACTTTCTACAGTAATCAACTAACTACTGCCAACTCATGTACAGCTGTACAAGTATTAAACTAATGGACTAACTACAATTACAATGACCTAACTATAGTTAAGTTAAGAACACATGTGAGCTAAGGCACTGCTTGCGTGGACACTTCCTTTACATGGTCCAGGCAGGGGTAATTTATTTAATTGGCCTGACAGATGTAACAAAATTTGTGTTTATTTTTTCAGTTGTTAGAAGAAAGTATCTACCTCTGTAACATTCTTTTATTTTTTCAGTAACCCCTTTTTTCTTGTTAGTTCATGGGTAGGTAAGTTTGAAGCTGAGGTTGTTACTGCGCAGTCCATCTTTTGTTATTCATTTGGGTTCTGTGCCGGGGTGTCGTGAATAGAAATGGTAGCGGACCGGGCATGGGTAGGTAAATAGGAGCGCGCCGCGGCGTGTTGCTAATTATTATTTTTTTCTGTGGTTGCTGAGCGAATTGAGCATCAAACTAATGTGAAAGGAGTCCACCCCAACCGTGTTTCAGTTAACTAGCTTCCTTAATCTGGCTAACGTTTCATGGCAGGTGAAAGAAACTTCATTTCAGCTCTGTGAATCAAAGGACATCTTAACAAAGTAAATTTTCATGTAAATTTACCTTATTCTAACTAAAATTGATTTATTAAAAAAAATTGAAAGTTACGAATACCTAAGTAACAAAATCTCTCTCTCTCTCTCTCTCTCTCTCTCTCTCTATATATATATATATATATATATATATATATATATATATATATATATATATATATATATATGTATGTATAAAGAGAGAGAGAGAGAGAAAACTTATGTTAAGCAGGGTGAGTTAAAAATGTTGCGGATAAGGCTCAACCCGAGGGCAAGTGTATAGATAGCCATTTTCAGTATGTTATTTAGAGATTAGCTAGTACTTATTTTGTCTTGAAATTTTAAACTAAAAATCTTAACTTTAGGACAACTCAGAACATTTTTGTCCTGTAAAATTGAACTGAAAAACTGAAATTCAGGACGCATTGGCTAATTCCTAAATAGTTGCCTTTTAGAATGGCTAGCTGGTGTCATTTCTACCTCAACGCACCTCACTCGGGTGTTACCATCCCTAGTCCTGAAGACCTCAGTCCATTCATAAGTTGGTATGCTTTCCATCTTAAGATTGCATTTTTTTCGAGAAAGCGATTGAATAATACACTACAAATATGTTCGTAGATTTTGATTGTGATAGGCGGATTTGGTTCAACTATTTTTTAGCTAACTTGGTGATTTGTGGAATTAACAGAAATCTGTAGGTCTGATTATGGACTATTGGTTGAAGGATTGCGTGTAGTTGGAGCATCTTGTTTCAGTTCGCACATTTCCTGTCTGATATATATGCATCCAATTATAGACCAAAGTTCATATCCTTATTCTTGCTCAAAACAACTTAAGGTTTAATGAATGGCTTTTTTCTCGGCCTGCTTTCGCATTAACTCACCATTTGGTGATTTGGTTCGTAGCAGCCCAAGTATATCCAGGAGTTCCTTTTACACGCTACACCGCTGAGATGTCCAGCGGATTCCTGGGCCTTGACGAATGGCCGGCCACCTTTTACGTTAGAAGAGCAAAAGGCCCAGGGCAAAATTTTGTATAAAACATTATAGGGTCATCGCGTGATCTCTGATTACCTCAGTTAAAGGCCCTTTTTGAGGGTTCTACGGCTCTAATGCAGCAAACATGAAGTTTTTGAAAAAGGACAGTATATATAGCCAAAGATGAGAATTTGATGCCCATATAAATTTGTTACTAGCTAGCTAAATGTCCCAGCTTTAAGATAGCCAAAGATGAGAATTTTGGTGCCCGAGGAAAATGAAGATGACCAAAATCGCCCCGTAAGTTTAGGGGGGAGATGAACTTTGTTCCTCAAGTATTACAGGTAGCATGCCAACTGAAAACCTTCACATTTATCAAGAGAAGAAGGGGCGTGGAGGAACAGGGAAACCAACACCAACAACTCCAAAGATTCATTTTACCACAATTTAAAACAGATGATCATCTTAACCTTAACCTTAACCTAGATTATGAATTTCCACCATAAGAAAAGTGAAGAAATTTCTGTATCTCAAACATAGCGAGTGTCTACACCAACTCAAACTCATTTCTCATCATTTTGTCAGCTAAACCAACACACAACTGATCAACAAGAAAAATACTAAGTCTATTTACACTTCATAGAGAAATGGATATAGGCTTCCAACAAGAAAAATACTGAGTCTATTTACTCTTCATACCAACCATCAGAGCCTAAACAACATAGTACTTTAAAATCAAAAGGGGCAAAAGGTCTAACTGAAGTACTTGTGAAGTAAATATGCAGCCGAAGGACGGTCCTCTGGGTTCTCGACCAGAAGTTGGGAATTGCATTCTTCAAAACTTTTAATTCATAGTCTTCTGGTAATTCTCCAGTTTCCTTCAATTTCATAAATTCACTAAACCTTTGTGAATCCGTTTCCATCAGGTAGGAAATCTCAAAGAGCAGCAACCCTAATGCATACATATCTACTTTTGTAGTAATCGATGGAGGGCTGCTAGACAACTCCGGAGCCTGGTACATTTCATTACCAAGTACTACGCTCCCAACAGCAATCTCGGCATCTCCAGTGGACCGAGCTGAATCAAAATGATTAAAAAAAGTTCAAAGAAAGCACTTTACAATAAAATAAATACTACCTTCGTTCCACTTTATTTGGCATTATTTCCTTATTAATCCGTTCCGAAAAGAATGGCACATTTTAATATTTCCTAAATGGAAAGCTTTTATGGCCACAGAAATGTCATGACTTATTTAAGACCACAAATTTTAAAATTTTATGGCCATACAAATGTTTTGACATATTTAAGACTATAAGTTTCAAAAATCTTCGTTTATTTCTTGAACTTTATGTCAAGCCAAACTATGACAAACAAAGGGAAACGGAGGGAGTACCAAGGAAATAACAAAGAAATTGAAAAAGAAGAGCCAACTCACCCAAGCCAAAATCGCCAATCTTTACTTGATCCTGTGCATCCATGAAGACATTATCTCTGGATATGTCTCCATGGATCACTCCACTTCCGTGGATAAATGTCAATCCCTCTAGCAGCTCCTTGAAGATCCGCAAAATCATCTCTGTCTCAAACACCTTTCCATTCAGTATCTCTTTTTCCAGCTTGGCATGTATGGTGCTAAACATAATAGATAGCAAAAAATAAGAAACAACTTTTAGCTTAAAACAATAGTTTGAAACTAGTTTAATGTAAGTTTACAAACCTAGCACAAAACTCCATCGCAACAAAGAGGGTCTTGTTGCATTAGCTACCATCTCCTCGTCTGAATATGAAGATCCAACATCGGGGACTCCATTTTCTATCCAGCACTAAGAATGAGAAGGAAAAAAAATTAATTGTGATGCGGAAAGTTACTTACACCAAAGATCTTCTTGAAAGGAACTAAACCCAACAACCACTTGCAAGTTCTATTTCAAGGACTATGTAATGCACAAAACAACATCTTGTCAAATTTGTTTTCAGCCTTTCAAAGCTAGAACAGTATTGTAAGTATTTTTCTCTCAAATCATTCTTATCCTTAATTCAAAAAATTCCTTTGTGACACATAATCATTATATTTCATTAGTCTCTACCTATTCTTTGCGTAGTTCAAACAATATATGTAGAGAAAATACTAGTTAACTAGTGTAGCATTGATCCAAAATCGCCTTGTCTTTAAGAGACGAATAATTAAGCAGACTTGACAAACAATTATACTATACTTTCATTTATATATTCATGAAGGATTAGTTAGAAGCAAGTACCAACATATGTCACACCTCTTTTTTTACACACCTACCCCGAAGGATAAATGTATAAGGGAGTTTTTCCATTTAAAGTGACATTATTCGAAATGGGATTATTTATTTAGTTTTAGAGTCGCCACTTGGGATAGGACTGGCTTTTGGTGTCCCAAGTCACCGATTTAACTTGAATCCCAAATCGAGGAAAATTGTCGACTTCCCAATTGGAGTCTGCGAACCAGAAATTCTGAATAAGGAATTCTATTGACCCGAGGGAAGGTGTTAGGCACCCCCGGATCCCGTGGTTCTAGCACGGTCGCTTAAATCATTATAAATGGCTAAAATCTTATTTTTATACATGCTCCAACCTATAGTGCAAGTTTAAGATTATTTACCACTTTTTAGTTAATTTCTAAGAAAGTGAACGTCGTTTTAAAACGTGTTTTTGGATCACGTCACATGAAATGCACCAGGATCTTTGACATATTCTTATTCAACGTTTTGGATTTGGATTTGGGTTGCATGAAGCACACCCGTATTTAAGAAGGTAAAATTATTAAAAGCGCGCCTAAAGCGACTAACGGGTAATTATCTTTGCGGAGGGCCGTGAAATTCGCTAAACGGCACGCCCCAAATTCTAAGTATTTTTATATAAGCATTTAATGAGGGCCCCGCAATTTATGTGTTTTGTTTGGCGAGGCTCATCTCATTTTTATTTAAAGGCCAACCTAAAGCAAACTATGATTTTTCTATTTATTTTGTCTCTAAAAGGGCCTAATTAATTCACATTTATAAATTCGGGCCTCGAGTTCAAATCCGAATTCAAAAAAAAGGGAGGACCCTCATAATTTGAACCCGCTACCTAACTCGAAAACCTAAGTTCACATTGTAAACTAATTCCCATATTCCTAATATAATTTTTGAAGGATTTTTGAATTCTAACAATTTTTTGGGCCTTCAAACGTGTCCCTATATAGGAAGGAGGAAAATACAGCTTGTATTAAAATTTGCCCTGCTTTGGGCTTCTTATTATGACACTAGGCCCAATAATCGTGTAAACATATGGGCCTGGTTGCCTAGCCTCATTTTTTATCTCATGAAGTGGGCTTTTAGGCCTGTTGACTTTTTTGTAAACCAAATGTGCCATTTATTGATATGATCCGCCTGGAACTTAACAGTTAATTAATTTCAAAATTGCACCTTAAACAAATTCAGCAATTATCCGTACACTAGGAATATGTGTTAAGACTCATTAATCTACTCATTTAAATTGACATACAGCACAATGTGAATTGTAATTCTAATAGGTATGAAAATCTAATACACGAGTTACTGGCAGAACATATTTGTGCAACTCTTAAACTAACACTACTTGAACTAAAAGACATTCACACAACTCTAAATGGTCCAGTGACCTAATTAGCTATAAATCAATACTAAACTAATGTATTGGCAGAACATACATGCAAATATAAAAGGTCCAGCAGTCTAATTAATTACAAATTCATATATTGTCAACAAAACTACTCTATGTTTTTAAACTAAACCAGGAACAGAGACTTCAGAGATTAAATTCAACAACATTTCCTCATTTAATATGCTTTAGCAATCCTACATTGACTTCACAAGTTGTATGAGACCAAGTGAGTACCTGGAGAGAGAACAAATGCAGAAATTGAGAGTCAGCAACAGCAGCAACTAGATCGATTTTGAACCCAGAAATTGCGTCAATCAGCCCAGTAGTTAATTTTAGGTAGCAAAACCAGTAGCAACCAAAATAAGCTTGAACAACCCAACTTTGACTTGATATAACCCCAAATACACTCGATAAACACCTCAGAAATGTCTAGAACATTTCAGCAACTAAATATTAATTAACTAGTAAGACTAAAAATATAAAATCGAATTCTAAATGCGAATGCCTATTTTTGTACCCTTTTTATGAATTATGGCACCTAAAATGCACACAAAAATACAAACAAGACACAAAATCATGCAATTAATTCCTAGAAATTCAAATAATAAAGAAAAATCCTAATTCTAAGGAATTTTGTAGGAGTAATTTAAGCGTGGCAAAAATCAAGTGCTCACAACTGCCCCTCTTTGCTCGAAGACACGAAGGGTTTTCGGGCAAAGATAAATGAGCACCATGAAGGATTTTTGCCTGCTCGGCACTCCATGAGAAGCATTTTGAAAACCGTCTGACCGAACCCTGCTTCAAAGGTTGCCTACATATCCTTGGCTATAAAGGAATCAAGTCAGTGTAGTTCTGGAAAGTTTGGTAGCTGGGACTACCAGAAGCTGTGATTTCACTGTTGTTGTTGCTGCTACTGCTTGCTGACCTCCTTATTACACCAAAAGGAAAATCAAAGCTAAGCTAGCTATGCCTATCAACTATGAGTTACAAGATTCCTATCTATAATTCTCTTGACACTTGATCTTGAGTCTGTTGTGGACTTCGATCTGAATCTTGATGCTCGCAAGTTGTAGATGTTTATTTCTTCATGCAGCATTGGGTCAAAACAGGATCAGCGAAGCTTGTGACTTCAATCAGATTTTGAGCAATCCGTACCCTTGCTTGCTTCACTTTTGAGTTCATTTCTTTTTGTCCTTTTCTTCTTTTCTTGACTCTGGATTGAGACTCATTCCATTAGTCATCTCGCACCGTGCGTCTTGAGGTCGACCTGCTTAAGATACCAAAACAAACAAACGAACGAAATTTTCTACCCCAGTTTTCACTAGGAAAATTTCGTGGGTTAGTTGTGACACATATCTAAGCGATCAAATCAGGATTGTGTATCCTTATGAATGAATCCAAGTTATGATCGGGTTATGCCGGAAAAACGAAAAAGGGTACTCGGGTTAGCCGGAATTTGGAAAGAAAAAGCTCCTTGGGTTATGCCAGGGAGATCCTCGGTTTTTTGGCCGGGATTTGGAAAGAAAAAAGCTCCTTGGGTTATGCCAGGGAGATCCTCGGTTTTTTGGCCGGGATTTGGAAAGAAAAAGCTCCTCGAATTTTTGGCCGGGAGATCCTCGGATTTTTTGGCCGGGATTTGGAAAGAAAAAGCTCCTTGCTACCATGATTTGTTTTTCTTTTGGGGTTCTCATTTTCATTTTTTTTTTGTTTTTTTTTTCTTTTTATATGTTTTCCTTTTTATTTAGCAAAACGCATGAAAGAATTTGGGAGGAAACTTCCTTTTTGGTCGTTTTCCTGCTGCAAAGCTGTTTCAGCGCTTGCGCACTTCATTTCCTTTTGGGTTGCACCTGCTTCTTGCATGGTTGCTTTGATTGCACCTGTTTTCAACAAAGAACAGTTTGTTAGTTTGAAACGGTGGTTGATTTTTGTGACCTTGATCATCCCAATTGCTTGATCCCGGCCCCCTTTCCATTGAGAACTTTGCTGCTTGTTGGCCTTGAGGGTGAATCTCTTTTCAAACCGACCGGGTTCAACTCTCAGGATTTCATTATGACTCGCCCGTGTGGGCTCTGGCCTTTTCACTTTATTCTGCCCTTGCCTTTGATTTTCTTTCTTTTCCAATGTCTTTGCTTCGAAAGCATCAACCACTATGGTCAGTCGGGATTGGCCTGACGCACTCGCTGAGGCTGGGTATTTTCTTCGACTCTGACCAGGCGGAGCCTTGTGAGGCCGGTCCTGCACCTTTTCTTTGTAATAGTTTACGAATCAGAGTTAAACCGAAAGGGATTCAAAGAAAAAGTATGCAAAAGGCAAGCATATGATTTTAAAGAGAAGCCGTCCCTTTCGGGGGAAAAGAAGGACTTATCTGGGGTGCCATGCTGGCCTTCAAATGAACATTGACATGCTCTTGGACTGGACGCCCGACCCACACAAACTTTCAACTTCCCGTGAACCCATTGATCCGCATTTTCAAAACCAGGGAAACCTTGCCAGGACTCTTTTAGTGATGAGTATGTCTTCTCTTCGGCAACAAAGCGTCCCTTTGCGGGTTTTCGCCAATTCGGACCTCTTTATTCTCTTCCTCACCGTCGCCCGATAGTGTCCTTTGCGAGTTTTTCCACTAAGCGGACGTCTTCTCATTTTCAGTTTCTCTACTCACCATCCCTTTATTGGTTGCCCGAAAGTTTCACCGATAAGACTCCTTCTTTTATTCTCTCTCAATTTGCATGTGTCAAGATTCCAACAATGACGGTTTCCCACTTCCCGTGCCTTTGCAATTGATGGAAGGACTTGACAAGTCTTGGGGGTTAAAAAGAATTTTGGGGAACTACAAACTTTGGAACCATTTCAGCGGACTCATGGCCCGAACCATTATA